TGCCAAAACTAATTTACAAAAGCATGATGACTATTATAAGCAAATTTTATGGTCTGATGAAAGCAAGATTGAACTTTATGGCCACAACGATGCTATCCATGTTTAGAAAAAGGATAGAACAGCCTTCAATCAAAAGAACACCATCCCCACTGTGAAGCCCGGAGGCGGTAGCATTATGGTTTGGGAATGCTTTGCATATAATGGTACGGGACAACTGAAAACAGAGGGCACAATGAATGTAGCCAAATATATTCAGATTTTAGAAGATTGCTTGCAGTCATCAGTTGAGAAATTAGAACTTTGACCAGATTGGCTGTATGTTTCGCATCATTGTCCAGTTGAAAAACCCAAAGCAACACGTGCATGGCTTCAAAACAATAACATCAGCGTGTTGACATGGCCCAGCCAATCGCCGGACATGAATCCAATAGAGAATCTTTGGAGAACACTGAAGAATCAGATTCGTGAAAGTCGACCAAAGAACCTCAGTGAATTGAAAGTTTTTGCAGAAGAGTTGGCTAAAATTCCCAACAAATCATGCCAGACGCTTGTAGAGAGCTACAGAAACACTGAGAGCCGCGGTTGCAAATGAAGAAGGACCAACTAAATATTAAACACATTTAAAGCGTAATTTATATTCTGTCCAAATACTTTTCACTACCTCTTTTAATAATTTGTATATAAAATATATATGTGTCAAATAATTTATTTTTGCTGTTTATTTGCATTTATAATTGTTTTACGAATATATTGTGAGCTTTAGACAATGCTTTTCCTTCAATATATGATTCTAAATCCATTTTTACTGTCCAAATACTTGTTTCATCTCACTGTAGATATATAATACTAAAACTTTAATCTTGTATGCATGTTTGTTCCCGAAATACAGTTTAAACAATACGACTAATACCCCGACCAAATTAGAGACATATTGTACCTTGAACCTCTGCCAAGTACAGTACCAAATTTAATAAAAATTAAACTAGGCGTTCTTGAGCCTAGGACCATTTTTCTGTTATACGGTATGTTTAATAGGAAAATCAGTATTTGTTTTCAATACCTTTTAATAAACAAACACCTGTATATTATATTCCAAGTAGTGTGGAAAATAAATTCATAATAGGTTAACATTATTAAATAAATGTAAATTTACATAACACAACTTAAATTTATACAATTTACTACACTAAATTAGAATATTTTTATAAACAACTGCTTGAAAGGTGAAGAGGCTAGGTGTCACAAGACTTGATGGTAACACTTTACCTGGTCTACCGCTTATATGCTTACGGTCATAACTGAATATGTATACCAAGCTTTTGATAATAACGGCGAAGCTCGAGCTGTTGTTATAGATATATCGAAGACGTTTGACAGGGTTTGGCATGCTGGCCTTTAGGGATATGCTATTACAGGACGATTATTTGATTTAATTCAATCATTCATGTCTAACCGTGAAATGAAGGTTATCCTGAAAGGGTTCTCTTTAAGTTACTTGCTTACGAACGCTGGTGTTCCTCAGGGTTCTGTCCTTGGTCCTACACACAGTTTCTGATCTTCATCAATGATCTTCATGACGTCATCAGTTCTCAAGTATTTTCTCATGTCGCAATAATAAATCCAGCTTTGCTGACAAATTAAATCTGGCCATTGGTCTCGAAAACGACTTCAAATCTTTGGGAACAGGAAATGGCTTGTGAATTTTAATGCATCCAAAATGAAACTGCTGTCATTTACTCACCATAGAAAAACTTCCCCGCCTCCTATGAGCATCAACATGGTTGATGCTCCACGAGAGCGCCTCACTGCGCTTTCTTGGTCTTTACTTTTTTCCACTGGCCTGTAGTGGAACAACTACATTGAGTCAAGAGCTGTATCTACTGCAAGGAAAGTTGGTTCGCTGTGTCGCGCCAGAAGGTTTTTCTCGTCTGAGTCCATCTTTCACCTTTACAAATCTACCATTTGTCCATGCTTGGAATACTGTTGCCATATATGGTCTGGTGTCTATCATAAAATAATTCATTTTTATACTTTAAATCAGGATATATTTGCATTAAGGCGTTTTAGTGCTTTTCATTCGTTTTTGGTCCGGAAAAAAATTTACATCACTAATGATTTTTAAAAGGTATACTTGTTATTTTGAAAAAGGTTACATCTATTTTAAGCGATTACTCCAAATTTTCATGCAATGTGTAAACTATGCAGACCAGTGGAACAATAAACCTTCTTTTATGGTCTTCAAATACAAATTAAAATGTGTAATCATAAAATTGATAATATTGTTACCTTCTCATTTTGTATCATGAACTGCTTTTAAAAGAAACCCAACTAGTTTGAGTTGTGTGTATGTGTGTTTATCTGTCTGATTCTGTTCCTTTTCTCCCTCTTTTCTTTGTCTCGTTCTGCTTCTTCTCTGTCTCGTTCGGTACTTTCTCTCTATCAATCCTGAAAAAGACGTAAAAAAAGTAGAAATTATTACACGATAGAAATACCAGTAATTTAATACTTACAATGTCTACAAAATACATAGACCATGTTTGATAAATAGTAATGCAGAATCATTGCAATTTTATTGCATAAATATAAACATAAACACGGAATCATACTTTTTAAAAACTAATACCACATATTTCCATTAAAACAAAAGCCGCAGAAATGAAACTATTTGATTTTCTTTTATTTTGTACTTTTGATTTTGGTTTCTGAAAGATCACATGTGAACAGAATTCTGACCAGTTGTCTCTCTAGATTTTTTTAACAGACCATTTTTGGCGTCTATCGATCTGACGTTCGAATTGTTTGTTATTGTGTTGATCAGTCATCCATACAGCATAGCCGTTTCTAGTGTTTGAAATTACTTATAAATCTTAATATTTAGTACACATGTACGTCTACTCCTTTATGTGTATGTGACATTCATGTAAAGAGAAACAATCCTACTACTTCAGTGAAAATTTAAAAAAAAACATAGACATGAACACTTACAGATACATACACACACATACAATCCAGTTCCGAGATAGAAACAAAATCTGGTGTCTCTTACCATGAGTCTGTATCATCCGATCCAAAGAAACCGATATATTGCCGTGTATGTGTTTGATTTTACAAATAGAATGTAGTAAATGATGTGGAGCTACAAATATTGACAAACTTTTTGATGACGACTTTCTTTGAAACGTTGTATTTTCAATACTGAATTAAATCTGTCTAGCTCAACAACGATTCTCGGTTATCGTTGATCTAACGGATATATGCATATGACTTTCTCTTCCGATACAATGAATAACCCCCTTTATGAAAAAAAAAGGTTGCTAAACTACATTTGCAATATTGTTTCGTGTGTGTGTCTCGACATCTAAGTTTACTAAGTTTGCACAGGACAAAGGTTACATTTTGTCAAAAATTATATTTTTCGAAGTTAACATTGCCAGCAGTTTATTTTTTTTTTTTTTTTAATTATAGTGCTTGCTACCAAGAGATACATCTTTAATAAGGCACTAAAATAAGCTCACTTATGTACTCAATTTCACGGAATCATTTTTTTGTTTGCATATACACGTGCATTTTATATATACCGCACTTACTCTAGAATAGTGTGGGGTTTTTTTATCAGTTTTTACACAAAAAATAAATTTTTTTTTTTTTTTTTTTTTTTTTTTTTTTTTTTTTTTTTTTGAGGCTGAAAATCATGCATTTTTAGTGACGGGTTGCACAATACACAGGTATATTTGCGGAAGGGTTAAAATTCATGCACAAAAATTCAGGGATATCACTGTATATGAAGTCGTCTTATACACGAATATATACGGTATTCTCAATTTAAAACTGTAACATTTTATATGAAACTGCGAGTTGACAAAAGAGAAAAACGCTATTTTTCATATAGTCCGTGAAACTCCTAGCAGAGACAAGATGAATGATGAACATGTATAATTTTAGATATTAAATATAATATAGTGAATAAATGCTTTTCTCATCTATGTCAATGTTTGATTTTCAAGCACTTAAAAGATAATATTTCGTAATACTGATTTACAAGCTCCGCAGAGCCTACCAATTTGTATCGTTGGCGTAGCACAATCTTTATAAACTTTCTGTTCTTTCATTTGGTCTTGTGCCCAGACAAACTCGGCTAAGATCGATAAATATCTATATTGGAGGAAACATCCACCAGTGAAATGCAAACACAAGCACTCGATCTTATTCGCTGCAAGGCCGTTTTTTCTTTTTCATTCTTTTTATTTGGGGGGAGGGGGTCGCACCCAGTGATAATCAATTTCTCCAATGTTATACAAGTCTATTACGCTTTCCGCTACATTGCGTGTTTGTCCACAACATTCAATTTCTATTTTTTTTTTATAGTTACCTAAAGTTAATATTTTCAGCCTTCACAAAAGCGTACGCCATATATATATATATATATATATATATACATATATATATATATATATATACACATATATATATATATATATATATATATATATATATATATATATATATATATATATATATATATATATATATATATATATATATGTGTGTGTGTGAATGATCGCATACATTTTTATGTGTAAGTGCGTATGTATATGAGATTACAAGTATTGACATTTAGTCTGAAATAACATATCCGCACATACTTGTATTTCCATTCAAACAAAATATTTATAAATACTTATGCACACATATACAAAACACACATGCACACACACTTTGTGTGGTGGTGCTTGCGTTTTTAAGGAAACAGTAATGCAAACATTCTAACCACTGAATTTCTAGAGACCAATTTTGGCAATATTTTTTATTTTTATTTGAAACACTGAAAACTGTTTGAAATACTCCTAATGGACAGCACACTTTCTAAAGCTCACGATCTACCTTCCCATGAACCAGACTTTAAGTTAAATAAATGAATTTCCAGATGGACAAGAAATCATCCTGTTACAAGCATCACGTGAAAAAGCTATGGCGATTTACTTTATCATTATGGGCAGGCAATGCTTTCATACGCGCCATACTGTGCATCTATAACTGCCTGGTTAACATGGTACGCAAAGTAAAAATTTCATCAGCTTTCCTATCTTCAGTTGTGTAAATATTTTATCTCCGTTATGTATTTTTCTTTATAGATGCATGTTTAAGTAGACGAACAAGCGCTCATGCAGACTTCCTCATATCCGTTTCCTCACTCTCACAAGCGCACATCCGCGTACATGTCTTTGAGTTTTAGTCTGTGTACATGAAAGACTACGGTCATAAGTGCAATTATATATTATATCTTTTTCTAACGCATCATTCACAAACGTGTAAATATTTAGTTATATGCAGTCATAATGAAATCCTACACACGAATCCATATATTTCCTTATTGATATTTACCAAAAGGTGTGTACTTGAAAATTAATGCTAATAGAGATAATTACTTCTCAGTTATTGCTTGCACCATTTCAACTGAGTCCAAGTACACACTGTCCGCTCACAATTACTGTCATTGGGCAGTGTATGGATTCAATGGAAAAAGAGGCAAGAAATAATTGAGCAGAACGAGAATAAGAAATAGACTAGATATCCCTAGTAATGAGCAGTAGAACGAGAATAATCTATGCCCGTAGATTAAATAAAGGGTTCCGCCGGAAATTTCTTGTAGTCTAAGATTTATTACCGATATAGTAATTGTGGCATCAAACCGAAAAAAGGTGAGGAGAGACTGTTCAAAGTTAGTCATCACTAGCTATTTTATACCTGGCTAATCGGATTTACGACCCATTCATTCTTTACAATATACTCATTCACCATAAGAATCTATCCGTCACCATTTGCTCCTTCATACACCAAAATACCTCTCTCTCACACACACACACACACACACACACGGCAAGTACTGGGGGTGAAAACACGCCATGAGTTAAAAATCCCAATATGTACCATTGTGTATTTTATATTATTAATGAAATAATATGGGGGTGGATGATGACCCCTAAAAAGAAGAAATGATGTTAGTAGGACCCGTCCGCCCAACAAAAATATGAGTTACTGCTGTATTCTGTCTTCCAACAAAATCGAGAGTATCTCGCTGAGGGAAAGGATAAAAAATTATGGTCATTAAGAAATTCTAAAACTAGCCCGGTCGAGATGAAAAGGGCAGGCCAAAACAAACTGGGGAGTTTGGGAATCTCGACTTGGGTCATCACAGAAACCGGGAACAACACTTACATTAACCAGGTACACTTGGAAGAGTCTGTCTGAACCTGTAGTCTACCCGTATCAAGATATATATATCTGATGGTAATAGTGTACAACGACATTATCATGATAATAGCAACAAAAGTGAGGATAATCGTCCGCATGTATTGTAAATGATAATTCCTCATCGCAAAAATCCAGACACGGATAATTAAACTTGACAAAAGTTGCCTAATGCATCATTCCTGACGTACTATTTGCTATCTGGACTAAATCATTTCTCTGAAACAACTTCATAACTCTATTCATTTTTAGCAATTTGTGCATATACCTATGTTTCGGGATTAGTGCGTTTGATCTTTATTTAAAATGCGACATAATCAAAAAAGATGCAATTTCGTTTCAATACAATGCTAAATGACTGACTCCGCAATAATCGCAGCTACAGGAACTGATCTTGAATGACGCAAACATTTTCTTTTTTTCACATTCTTTACATGCTTCTTTTTATTTTACTTTTGACATAGTTTTCCATTTTGTTTGTTTCTTTACATGCTTCTTTTTATTTTACTTTTGACATAGTTTTCCACTTTGTTTGTTTCTCTCCCTCCCACTCTCACTCTCACTCACCCCTCTCCTCTCCCCTCCCCCCCTCCTCTCCTCTCCCCTCCCCTCCCCCCCTCTCCCCCCTCTCCTCCCCCCCTCACCCCCCCTCTCCCTCCTCCCCCCCCCCCCTCACCCCCCTCCCCCTCCCCTCTCCTCTCCCTCCCCTCTCTCCCCCCCTCTCCTCTCCCTCCCCCCTCTCCTCTCCCCCCCTCCCACTCCCTCCCCTCCCCCCCTCCCCCCCCTCTCCCCCTCTCCTCCTCCCCTCCCCCTCTCACTCTCCTCCCCTCCCCCTCCCCCCCTCCCTCCCCTCTCCTCCCCTCCCTCCTCACCCCCCTCTTTTTCCTCCCCCCCCGTTTTTTGTTTTCATCTCTTTTTTTTTTTTTTTTTTTTTTTTTTTTCTCTCGCTCTTATTTTCCATCCCTTTTCTTTGTTCCATTTTGTACTAATTACATCTACTGACTAAAATAGTCATGCAGGTGGGAATTATTTTTAACTTTTGATTGCGGTATCAGTCATATCATGCAGCGGAGAAAATTATTTGGAAAATAAACGTGTCGTACTAGATAAGCAGCATGATGGGCGGCGTGGGGAATTAAAATAATCGCCCAGCATTTGTATTTATTTCTTATAGTCATCATCATGAATCTTCTTTTAACATTTTTTTTTTTTTTTTTTTTGTTATCACTTGCTTTCTGTTTAGTACAAACCTTTTTAATGAGTCACCAAGGTTATAAATATCAGATCATTGCAAAATTCCGTGTCTAATTTTCATTGTTAATATAAAAAGACCGCAACTTGTCACTGGCATTTGTTTACGTACCTGTTACTGGTGTGTTGTAGATTGAAACCTTGCATCGTTCAGTTGCGAGTCTGGTTTTGTTGATGTTTTGTTCCCAAATGAATGCCTTAAAGATGGCGGATGTAAAAGTTTCACTTTCGTCATATTATGCTCGATGAATCTCGGAAAGGATTAAGTGTCGAAACTGCGACCAAAAAAAAACATTCGGAAGTTTTAGTTGGATCGTGCTTCAGCTTTTCGGAGGGCCAAAAAGTGATTTGGAAGATATCATCAAGGTGATTTTTTTTTTTTTTTTTACTAAACGATCAACCACATTCCATCTATGAAGATGCTCCTCTTGCCATCGTGAAGAATAAACGGAGTTTTCGACGGAAGAGATTGCTAAGAGTTTGAAGAAGAATATCTCGACTTTCGAAATTTGAATAGACTTTGGTTTGTTTCCAAACTCGACATGTTGGTGCCGCATTCTCTGACGGGGCAAAATAAGCTTGACCATGTTTCTGTGACGATTTCTTTGATGATACGCCAAGATAAGGAGCTGTACTTGGTCAGAAATATTTATGAATCGGAGATGGAAACAAGTTTGTCAATGTGCAGAACCCAAAAGGATAATTCACTTTGAGCTTTGGCAAATCGAAAAGGTGTCATTTTCCACCACGACAACACTAAACCGCATGTTGCAAAACAAACCCTGTAGAACCTTTTAAAGACTTGAAATGAGGAAACCCTCCAGTACTTACAGTATTCTCCTGACTTAGCTCCTTTTTACGGTCTGTAAAGAACAAATTTAAATGACAAAAAAAATCCCTTTGCACAATCGAAAACTACTGGACGACCTTCTTCGAACAAAAACACGAAGTCTCTACAAAAATGGCATCATCAATCTTGTAAAAACAAAAGGAGACAGTTTCTCCCTTTTTTTTTTTTTTTTTTTTTTTTTTTTACAGTTATGTACTCGACTAATAAATGTTTTGTGAGTATGTAAAATTTAGCTTTTAATTATGTAAACGGTGTACTATCTAATATATGCATTCTGTTTACGATGAAGCAAAACAGATATGGATTAATGTTTCCAATGGTCTTTATACTAAATAAAGAGAAAACTAGGCAAAAATCGATCCATTGATGCCATTTTCTTACTGTTAACCGTCACGTGATAGTCCGTTAAAGTTCTGTAATTAAAGACTACAAAAAAAACATGCCTTCTCAGAAATCTTGTAGTGTCATCAGACAAATGTTATATAACAGTAAATGTGAGGATCGTGAAAATGAAAAGCTGTGGCACCTTGAAACTACGTTATACTTATAAGTGAAACACTGGATACGATTAAAAAAAAACCTACAGATAAGAACATTAACAAAATTCAAGGCAGTTCCTGTTTACAAGCAGTTAAAACAAATGCACTTTGAAAAAACGTTATTAATGTAATGAAAATGTGAACAGTAAATGCTGATTATTACTTATTAGGATTTGTGTATCAACACTGGAAAGAGCGATAAAAGCTACTGGACTTAAGTGGTGTTTTAAGAGAAATATTTGGCTGCTCGATCAATGAATGCCAAATGTTTGCTTGTAGGGAAACTGCTAATATTCATATTACAATGATTGTTAAATTAAATTATTTACCTAGAGAGAGAAATTTTCATCTCCGTTTCTTATTGCGGATATATTCTACACTTTTTAATACCATGACAATACAATAACATTCAGAACGTTGTTAAATGCTGATAAGCTACGATGACTCAAATAACAAACTGCAGTTCAGATTTGAGGTTTCGAATTCTGCCGAATGCAGTTCTATCCTGTATGAACATATGCAGAAAATAAATCAACAAAAAAAATCACAGCATACGGTTAGATCCAGCTAGTTCAATAGTAGAACGATGAGACCTGGTAGCTAATCTAGTTGTACGATTACATCCATACGGTTGAGATACCAAGCTTATTAGAACTGTCATAAAAAATATTTATAGAAAAAAAGAGAAGTCCCGTCACGGCAGTGGGAAAGTTACTGAAGACGAGATGCCTACAATCTTCAAAAATTTAAATGAAACATCAATGACCTTTTTCTGTCTTCCTGTTTTTTTTATTGTTTTTTTTCTCTTCATTCTTCTTCTATTCCCAGTAACACTTTGCATCTTAGTGGCATTATCACCTTGCTTGGAATGAAATTATTAAAATAAATTATTTGAGGTTGTTAGGTTTTGATGCAAGAAAACAGTGCGGTAAAAATCATTAATGAATTTAAAATGCAGGCCACAGAAACGTATATTTGATTTACTTAATATCACATATACCCGAATGGTATAAGTATTTTAGGACTTTATTTCTTTATGCGGCTTCTTATTATATTCTATAATCTTCAACAGTCTTTCATCTAATGATTGTATTAACCTTTCTACTGTTTTGAGCTTCATTATTTACAGCAGTTTGTATTGATTCCCAAAGATATTTACTTGAATATTGTTTTTCCTTCTCTTATAAAAATCTCTTTTCATAATAGATTAACCGTTTATTGTTAGATTTATATCTGGAGAGGCTCCGGGCCCTTCTACTTATACTTTATATATTTGTACTTTTTGGCAAGATGCATAATATTCATTTTGGAGAATAAGTAATATTGTCTTACGTGAATATAGTCCTTAGTTTAACCTTTCTTGTTTATGATCTGTACCACTCCCCAAAAAAGTCTGATCCAAAACCTACAGTAATTTGTTGCATTCATTTTACACAATCAACTTTAAAGAGTTATAATTTTACTGCCAAAATTATTATCCCAAAACATAAGTTGGTCTTCCCATTGTTTGCCTCTAAATCGTGTTGGTTATTTCCTTGAAGGATCCAACCTTTCACCTAACCATCAGGTTCATCCAATAAATCTATATTAATGACTAAAAATTACTGTTGAGAAATCGGTGTTTATGTATAACTCTGTCCAACTTACTCGTTTCTCTTTTATTATTATTATTCAAAGCTAGTAATTTGGTTGTTTTCTTGACTTTAGCCAATGCTGTTAATATTCTGCATCTTTTTTTTCTGTTTACATTGGCAAGACAAGCTTCTTCAAATATTTTTCTTGCTGATCAGTTCATTTCTTTTTATCATTTATTTAATTTACCACCAATCTCTTAAAGCTATTTTTCTTAGTCTTGTCAGTATTTTAATTTTATTCATTTCTGGTCGTAGTTTTCAACGTTGTATTCCCATCACTCAAGAACTTTACAATATGTTGTTCCTCTTTCGAATTTATAAATTAAGAGATATATATTATAAAATGTCGGAAATTTTAAAAATCATATGTAGCAAGATTTATACTATTCATTTAGTCTGAGCAGTGACCCTCAAATTTCATATTAGTCTATCAAATAAGTCATTGTAAATATTTCTGCTTAGAACAGAATTTGGCATGGTATATTTATCATAAATATAAGCATATCCTGAAACATTTTTACCAACAATGACTGGTTAATATTAATTTTATAACTGTTTTATATATATATATATATATATATATATATATATATATATATATATATATATGATCATATCACCTCATGAAATGCAGTAAAGCAACGAAGACAAAAGATGTAATGATTTAAAAAAAAAAAAAAAAAAACATTAAGGTGCGAGAACAATAGAGGTGTAATGAAGACAGTAGATAATAATTTAAATAATTTACATTGCATTTAAATTTTTGAAGATCAAAATTGTCTGGAAAGTATGGAGCCGGAAGAGTTCTACAAGCGTGCAAGAAAAGAAACTGTTAGCATAGAACGTGCGGTTATACCTAGCCAATTCAACTTTAGATTGGTGAGACCTTTCAGTCGGTCTAGTGGTACCACAGCGAAGGGTTCATCTGAAAAATTACCATCAAAGTATTTATAGAAAAGGCACAGGGAAGCTACATTACTGCGGTAGGAAAGATACTTTATCACTTTTTCTATAGCCGAAGCGGCAAGCTTTGACGATAGATGTTGTTTTCCTGAAGGAAAAAGGGATGCAGGTTAGATTTCTGTCGAGAGGCACAATTTTTTAAGAACTTTTCAATCTACACTGATTATTAATTTCACTGTTTTAAAAAAAATTAAAAAAAAAAAAAAAACAGGAATAGCAACTCCAAACACGTGTACCCACTAAAATAACTTTTTTGTAATTAGAAATTAAAAAAATCCATCTCAAATGTGATTTGTTTAAAATTTGCATATTTATAGGTAAGTAATTTATATCGGGAAGTACCCATGTAGATATGCTGTGAACGTGGAAATCTACACTGCATAGTAATTGGCTGTTTCACGTTTTAATGGATCAGACAATTGTTGATTTCTGTTTTCATAGTTTCTTTCTACGTACACACTATCCTCAATATTGAACGCTTCCTCCAATAAATATAGCAATTTGAAAAGAGTACATAATCATGTCATCATGCATTAGTAATATGGGTATGTATATATTATCTTAGATAAAAATGCAAATGCAGCCTCAACTTGCATGTAAATTTTAAGAACGTTTTAGTTATTTATTGTGTATATGTACTTACTGGACTACGAATTTTACTGCCTTTCTACCAAAATATGGACAAATAAGTAAATAAAATAATATTCAATATTATCTGCCGTTTTCGCTTAGGAAAGATTTAGTATTTTTTAGATGTTGTCTGCTCAAAAGTTCACATTCTATATCACCGAAATCATAATTTAAAATGAGCTGTCCTGTTTTATGGGAAAATTCTCTGTACTGTTTTAACGGCGTTACAGTAAAAAAAAAATCAATTTAAGAGTAAAATACATTAAATATTTACGAAAAGATGCGGCTTAATAATGTCCATTTGAATGAAAATGAATCGAACATAATTAATCTCTGAGAAAATGAAGACTTCAACTTTGTCATACAAACTGAGGGTAATTTGTCAAGGATTGTCTCTTATCAAGTACATAAAATACCTTCTATAAATATATCTACTTTTTAAAAGCATAAAATTTCCAGCAAAAGCGTTTTTTTTTTTTTTTTTTTAATGAAAGCACCAATTAAAATTTGGCATTCATTCGCCATTTTAATCCTAATCAATATAAGCTAATTAACTTAACTTCCTCTGATTTTCCAAAACATTATTTCTGAAGTAATAAGCGAGTTTTTCTGTTAGCTTGCTAGCTACCCATGAACAAAGATGTATAGAAAAATGTTACGTTTATATTTTGCACACACATATATAATTAGATGTTTTGTATTTATTTATTTATTAAACAGTATATTTATTTCCATCTGCCGGGTTTGAATATTCGAGAAATATTATTAGAAAAATATGCGCTCACCGGCAGAACTCGAACATGCGTTCCTCTAGACCTGACATGTTGTAACCTCTCGAACAGAGGTTTTTCGTAGACGAGTGGTCAAAGTACGTCAGATAAGCTAATGTATATGAGACACACAATGACAATCCTTTGTTTACTGTTACGTTGATACTTTTTTTCTTATTTCACCACCACCACCCCAAACAATGCGACAAAGCTACTACCATGCAAGGAGTTACTGGGTTAGACAGAGGACAATAAAAGCACAGGATCCAAAGGTTGATGATTAGGATTGATATTGCATTTTAATTTTTGAAGATCGTAGTTGACAGGAAACCAAAATAGTTTCACAAAAAAGAAGCGCGGGAGAAGAAACCGTTAGCATAAAATTCATGATTACATATGGCAATTTCAACAATAAAATTTATGTTGCTGCCAATCAAATACTTCTGTTAAATTCTTGAGGTCAAGTTACCAAAAAGGACAGATCATAAGAATTACTGTAAAAATATTTATAGGAAAGACACAGGGAATCTACTTTACAGCGATGGAAATGTGACGGAGATCAAGATACCAGGTCAGAAACGTTATAGTCTTCTTTGGATTTTGTCAAGAATTTCTAGATATGCCTCAGAATCATCAGACCAGATGTGGTAGCAATCATAGATGCACGGACAAATGGTAGACTTTGTGTGAAAGGTAGATCCTAACAAGATAAAATATCTAGCACAACATAGTGGACCGATCTACCTAGTAGTAAATTTAGCAATTGATTCAATATAATCTTTAGTCGATAGCATACTACACTCGTCATGAAAAAAAATGGAGTCTGTTGCCAATTTTTTTAACCAGCAATAATCCAATATAAACGGAATCTCCAAAATATAGATTGACGTCAAACGGGCATCAGCTTACAAACGAGCATGCTTGGTTGAATCGACAATTTTATGCACCAAAGGAGAATTGAAAGTGGGATAACTTGCGCTCTCTACTTTCTCAGTGACAAATGCTAAAAGACTGAGAATTATCCAGAAATACATTCTCTTAAATATATCACGCAGTTTACGTTCTGTAGTTTTTTTTTTTTTTTTTTTTTTTTTTTGCTTTTTCATTCTTTATATGCTCTGTCCGTTTATCACATTGAAATGAATAGGTGCAGAGCCATGATCATCAAAGTAATTTTTTGTCCTCTTACTACCACACTAAGTCCCTGTTCTGTCATCCATTTACACAAACATGCGATGTTTCTACGCTGTGCTCCTCTCGATTTCAAAATGTCCTGTAAGTGCCAAATTCTTCAAGCCCTTTTTCCTCATTTCGGATTCGAGAAATTTCGAATTTTTAATTTTTTTTTTTTTTTTTTTTTTTTTATATAGGAACATGCTAAATTATTACTTTACACGGAGATGTGGACGAGTGTTTCTCATTCTAACCATGAGACCTGTGTTCGAGTCTCCTCATAGTCGATTTAGGATGTTGATTTTATAATATCGGCTTGGAAGGCGATCGCAGTGTGTAATACTGCTGGAAGTTGTCCGTCCGACCTATCTGGAGGGCATTGTGTGGCCGATAGTTTGAGTGTATTAGTTTTGTTCACACCACTGATCAAACCCTCTCCCTCCCTCTGTCTCCCTCTCTCTCCCTCTCTCTCTCTCTCTCTCCCTCCCACCACGGATTGACTCTGAGGATGCCGAAGAAAAAGAAATAATTAATCATGTCTCAGCAACAGGAACAAGGATTACCTATCGACTCTAGTAGGCTCCATAGTCTCTCGAGACTGAACACTTTTCTAAAATAGCATTGTTCTCTAAAAGATATTCATACTTGTATAAATGCCAAATTCTTCAAGCCCTTTTTCCTCATTTCGGATTCAAAAAATTTCGAATTTCTCTTTTTTCTTAGAACACCAGAACGAAATGATAAAGTGGCAGATGAATAGCAAAACCCATTGCCATGATAATGGTGCATATGTTGATTGTTAACTTTTTTTCTGTAACTCAAAATCTACTATTTTGAATAAATTTGATTTCAGCTTAATATTTAAATTTCGTGTAGCAAAAAAGTTCCAATGTATCAGAAGTTTATGGATATTTCAGGTTATTGCAAAATTATTAAATAAGATATTTCTTGCTCAAATACAAGACAATTATATACAAACCTAATCTCTAATCTCTGTACATACAATGCAGTTTACGCATACAACTAGGCAATATTTAAAGCCTTTTGATGTGAGTATTAACCCGTGTTCCTACACTGGCGTAGAATATGACAAACATCTTGATGTGAGAGTTAACGATTAACTCTCCACATCTCTCTACGGTGGACTCTGTAATGTGCATTAAGTTGTGCTTTAGGCTGAATTATTCGTATAATCACAGTTAACATTACATTTTTTAGTTAGAACGCTGCGATCTGTGACTATAAGAAAGAAAAAAAGATTATCTGTGCGCCTTTCCTGACACTTCACAGTCCTAGCCTGGCCTTTTGAAAAAGGTATATTCATGCTGTGAAGATATTAGTTCAAAATGGATGCAAACTACCTTAGCCATAATTTTAACTTTGTTCATCAATTTTATTTTCCCTGGCGTTAACTATTTTCAATTCTGCACACATCTGGGCTATTGGAACATGAAATATCTTCTTTTTTTTTTTTTTATTTTTTCTTTTTTTTTTTTTTTCTTTTTTTATAGCAATATATAAAATTTACTATGGATAGAAGGTGCTCGATTGTTTTCGATACAAGCAACTTTCCAAAATTTGATCAAATGAACAAACGTTAGAATTGTGGTTGGGATTTTATTCTTGTTTGGGCTGAGATTTGTTTCAACACTCCGATCGCGCGTACGTCTCTCTCTGTCTTTCTTTCTCTCTGTCTTTCTTTCTCTCTGTCTTTCTTTCTCTCTGTCTTTCTTTCTCTCTCTGTCTTTCTTTCTCTCTCTGTCTTTCTTTCTCTCTCTGTCTTTCTTTCTCTCTCTGTCTTTCTTTCTCTCTCTGTCTGTCTTTCTCTCTCTGTCTGTCTTTCTTTGTCTGTCTGTCTTTCTTTGTCTGTCTGTCTTTCTTTGTCTGTCTGTCTTTCTTTGTCTGTCTCTGTCTTTCTTTGTCTGTCTCTGTCTTTCTTTGTCTGTCTCTGTCTTTCTTTGTCTGTCTCTGTCTTTCTTTGTCTGTCTCTGTCTTTCTTTGTCTGTCTCTGTCTTTCTTTGTCTGTCTCTGTCTTTCTTTCTGTCTTTGTCTTTCTTTCTTTTCTTTGTCTTTCTTTGTTGTCTTTTCTTTTTCTTTCTTTCTTTCTTTGTCTTTCTTTCTTTCTTTCTTTCTTTCTTTGTCTTTCTTTCTTTCTTTCTTTTCTCTTTCTTTCTTTCTTTTGTCTCTTTCTTTCTTTCTTTTGTTTTTCTTTCTTTCTTTGTCTGTCTTTCTTTCTTTCTTTGTCTGTCTTTCTTTCTTTCTTTCTTTGTCTGTCTTTCTTTCTTTCTTTCTTTGTCTTTCTTTCTTTCTTTCTTTCTTTGTCTTTCTTTCTTTCTTTGTCTTTCTTTGTCTTTCTTTGTCTTTCTTTGTCTTTCTTTGTCTTTCTTTGTCTTTCTTTGTCTTTCTTTGTCTTTCTTTGTCTTTCTTTGTCTTTCTTTTTTCTTTTCTTTCTTTTTCTTTGTCTTTCTTTGTCTTTCTTTCTTTCTTTGTCTTTCTTTGTCTTTCTTTCTTTCTTTGTCTTTCTTTGTCTTTCTTTCTTTCTTTGTCTTTCTTTGTCTTTCTTTCTTTCTTTGTCTTTCTTTGTCTTTCTTTGTCTTTCTTTCTTTCTTTGTCTTTCTTTGTCTTTCTTTCTTTCTTTGTCTTTCTTTCTTTCTTTGTCTTTCTTTCTTTCTTTCTTTCTTTCTTTCTTTGTCTTTCTTTCTTTCTTTGTCTTCTTTCTTTCTTTCTTTCTTTGTCTTTCTTTCTTTGTCTTTCTTTCTTTCTTTTGTCTTTCTTTCTTTTCTTTCTTTCTTTCTTGTCTTTCTTTCTTTCTTTGTCTTTCTTTGTCTTTCTTTCTGTCTTTCTTTCTTTCTTTCTTTGTCTTTCTTTGTCTTTCTTTCTTTGTCTTTCTTTCTGTCTTTCTTTCTTTCTTTGTCTTTCTTTCTTTCTTTCTGTGTCTTTCTTTCTTTCTTTGTCTGTCTCTTTCTTTCTTTGTCTGTCTCTTTCTTTCTTTGTCTGTCTCTTTCTTTCTTTTGTCTCTGTCTTTCTTTCTTTGTCTGTCTCTGTCTTTCTTTCTTTGTCTGTCTCTGTCTTTCTTTCTTTGTCTGTCTCTGTCTTTCTTTCTGTCTCTGTCTTTCTTTCTTTCTCTGTCTTTCTTTCTTTGTCTGTCTTTCTTTCTTTGTCTGTCTTTCTTTCTTTGTCTGTCTTTCTTTCTTTGTCTGTCTTTCTTTCTTTGTCTGTCTTTCTTTCTTTGTCTGTCTTTCTTTCTTTGTCTGTCTTTCTTTCTTTGTCTGTCTTTCTTTCTTTGTCTGTCTTTCTTTCTTTGTCTTCTTTTCTTTCTCTGTCTTTTTTTTCTTTGTCTGTCTTTTTCTTTCTTTGTCTGTCTTTTCTTTCTTTCTTTCTTTCTTTCTTCTTTCTTTCTTTCTTTTGTTTGTCTTTTTTCTCTTTTTCTTTCTTTGTCTGTCTTTCTTTCTTTCTTTGTCTTTCTTTCTTTCTGTCTTTCTTTTTCTTTGTCTGTCTTTCTTTTCTTTCTTTGTCTTTTTTCTTTCTTTCTTTCTTTGTCTTTCTTTCTTTGTCTTTCTTTCTGTCTTTCTTTCTTTCTTTGTCTTTCTTTCTTTCTTTGTCTTTCTTTTCTTTGTCTTTCTTTCTTTCTTTGTCTTTCTTTCTTTCTTTGTCTTTCTTTCTTTCTTTGTCTTTCTTTCTTTCTTTGTCTTTCTTTCTTGTGTCTTTCTTTCTTTCTTTTTCTTTGTCTGTCTTTCTTTCTTTCTTTGTCTTTCTTTGTCTTTCTTTCTTTCTCTTTCTTTCTTTTCTTTCTTTTTCTTTCTTTCTTTCTTTCTTTTTCTTTCTTTCTTTCTTTCTTTTTCTTTCTTTCTTTCTTTTTTTTTTCTTTCTTTTTCTTTCTTTCTCTTTCTTTCTTTCTTTCTTTCTTTCTTTCTTTTTTCTTTTTCTTTCTTTCTTTGTCTTTCTTTCTTTTTTTTTTCTTTCTTTTTTCTTTGTTTTTCTTTCTTTTTCTTTCTTTCTTTCTTTCTTTGTCTTTGTTTGTCTTTCTTTCTTTTTCTCTTTCTTTCTTTTTGTCTTTCTTTTTCTTTCTTTCTTTCTTTTTCTTCTTTGTCTTTCTTTCTTCTGTCTCTTTCTTTCTTGTCTTTCTTTTCTTTGTCTTTCTTTGTCTTTCTTTCTCTCTTTCTTTCTTTGTCTTCTTTCTTTCTTTTCGCTTTTTTCTTTCTTTCTTTCTCTTTCTTTCTTTCTTTTTTTCTTTTTCTTTCTTTCTTTTCTTTCTTTGTCTTTCTTTGTTTCTTTCTTTCTTTCTTTCTTTCTTTCTTTCTTTCTTTTTTCTTTCTTTCTTTTGTCTTTTCTTTCTTCTTTCTTTGTCTTTCTTTCTTTTTGTCTTTTTTCTTTGTCTGTCTGTCTTTTTCTTTCTTTTTTTTCTGTCTTTCTTTCTTTCTTTGTCTCTTTCTTTCTTTCTTTCTTCTGTCTTTCTTTTTTTCTTTCTTTCTTTGTCTCTTTGTCTGTCTTTCTTTCTTTGTCTCTCTTTCTTTCTTTGTCTTTCTCTGTCTTTCTTTCTTTGTCTTCTCTGTCTTTCTTTCTTTCTCTGTCTTTCTTTCTTTCTTTGTCTTCTCTCTTTGTCTTTCTTTGTCTGTCTCTGTCTTTCTTTGTCTGTCTTTGTCTTTCTTTTTCTTTGTCTTTCTTTCTCTGTCTTTCTTTGTCTTTCTTTCTTTCTTTCTTTCTCTTCTTTCTTTCTTTGTCTTTCTTTCTTTTCTTTGTCTTTCTTTCTTTCTTTGTCTTTCTTTCTTTCTTTCTTCTTTTTCTTTCTTTGTCTGTCTTTCTTTCTTTGTCTTTCTTTCTTTCTTTGTCTTTCTTTCTTTCTTTGTCTTTCTTTCTTTCTTTCTTTCTTTCTCTTTCTTTCTTTCTTTCTTTGTCTTTCTTTCTTTCTTTCTTTGTCTTTCTTTCTCTGTCTGTCTTTCTTTTCTTTGTTTCTTTGTCTGTCTTTCTTTCTTTCTTTCTTTGTCTTTCTTTCTTTCTCTGTCTTTCTTTCTTGTCTTTTTGTCTTTCTTTCTTTGTCTGTCTTTCTTTCTTTTTTCTCTTTCTCTTTCTTTCTTTGCTTTCTTTCTTTCTTTCTTCTTTCTTTTTCTTTCTTTCTTTGTCTTTCTTTGTTTTTTCTTTCTTCTTTCTTTCTTTCTTTCTTTTGTCTTTCTTTCTTTCTTTCTTTCTTTCTTTCTGTCTTTCTTTTCTTTGTCTGTCTTTCTTTCTTTCTTTCTTTTTTCTTTTATTTTTTTCTTTTCTTTGTTGTCTTTCTTTCGCTGTCTTTCTTTCTTTCTTTCTCTTTCTTTGTCTTTCTTTCTTTCTTTCTTTCTTTGTCTTTCTTTGTCTTTCTTTCTTTCTTTTGTCTTTTTTTTTTTTTCTTTGTCTTTCTTTTTTTCTTTCTTTCTTTCTTTCTTTCTTTGTCTTTTTCTTTCTTTCTTTCTTTGTCTTTCTTTCTTTGTTCTTTCTTTCTTTCTTTTCTTTCTTTGTCTTTCTTTGTCTTTCTTTTTTCTTTCTTTCTTTTCTTTCTTTTGTCTTTCTTTGTCTTTCTTTCTTTCTTTGTCTTTCTTTTTATTTTCTTTCTTTTTCTTTCTTTCTTTGTCTTTCTTTCTTTTTTCTCTTTCTTTCTTTCTTTGTCTTTCTTTCTTTTCTTTTGTCTGTCTTTTCTTTCTTTTGTCTTTCTTTCTTTCTTTGTCTTTCTTTCTTTCTTTTTCTTTTCTTTCTTTTCTTTCTTTCTTTTCTTTCTTTGTCTTTCTTCTGTCTTTCTTTCTTTCTTTGTCTTTCTTTTTTTCTTTTGTCTTTGTCTTTCTTTGTCTGTCTTTTTCTTTTTTCTTTGTCTTTCTTTTCTTTCTTTCTTTGTCTTTCTTTCTTTCTTTCTTTTGTCTTTCTTTTCTTTCTTTGTCTTTCTTTCTTTCTTTCTTTTTCTTTTCTTTCTTTCTTTCTTTGTTTCTTTTCTTTCTTTGTCTTTCTTTCTTTCTTTGTCTTTTCTTTCTTTCTTTCTTTGTCTTTCTTTGTCTTTCTTTCTTTTTTTGTCTTTTTTTCTTTCTTTGTTTGTCTTTCTTTCTTTCTCTTTCTTTTTCTTTTCTTTCTTTCTTTCTTTCTTTCTTTCTTTGTCTTTCTTTCTTTCTTTTCTTTGTCTTTCTTTCTTTCTTTCTTTCTTTTTCTTTCTTTCTTTCTTTCTTTTTCTTTGTCTTGTCTTTCTTTGTCTTTCTTTCTTTCTTTCTCTTTCTTTCTTTCTTTCTCTTTCTTTCTTTGTCTTTCTTTCTTTCTTTCTTTGTCTTTCTTTCTTTTCTTTCTTTTTTTTCTTTCTTTCTTTCTTTGTCTTTCTTTGTCTTTCTTTCTTTCTTTCTTTTTTCTTTGTTTCTTTCTTTCTTTCTTTTTTCTTTCTTTCTTTGTTTTCTTTCTCTGTCTTTCTTTTTTCTCTTTCTTTCTTTTTTTGTCTTTCTTTCTTTTTGTCTTTCTTTCTTTCTTTTTCTTTGTCTTTCTTTCTTTCTTTCTTTGTCTGTCTTTTTCTTTTCTTTCTTTGTCTTTCTTTCTTTGTCTTTCTCTTTCTTTCTTTGTCTGTCTGTCTTTCTTTCTTTCTTTCTTTGTCTCTTTCTTTTTCTTTGTCTGTCTTTCTTTCTTTCTTTGTCTGTCTTTGTCTTTCTTTCTGTCTTTCTTTCTTTTCTTTGTCTTTCTTTGTCTTTCTTCTGTCTGTCTTTTTTCTTTCTTTTCTTTCTTTGTCTGTCTTTCTTTCTTTCTTTCTTTCTTTGTTTCTTTTCTTTCTTTTTTTCTTTCTTTGTTTCTTTCTTTGTCTTCTTCTTCTTTCTTTCTTTTGTCTTTCTTTCTTTCTGTCTTTCTTTCTTTCTTTTCTTTCTTTCTTTGTCTTTCTTTCTTTCTTTTCTTTCTTTCTTTCTTTGTCTTTCTTTCTTTCTTTTTTCTTTCTCTTTCTTTCTTTCTTTGTCTTTTTTCTTTGTCTTTTTCTTTCTTTCTTTCTTTTTTCTTTGTCTTTTCTTTGTCTTTCTTTGTCTTTCTTTTCTTTCTTTGTCTTTCTTTGTCTTTGTCTTTCTTTGTTTTTTTTTTTTCTTTCTTCTTTTCTTTCTTTCTTTGTCTTTTTTCTTTCTTTCTTTCTTTCTTTCTTTGTCTTTCTTTCTTTCTCTTTCTTTTTCTTTCTGTCTTTCTTTCTTTGTCTTTCTTTCTTTCTTTCTTTTCTTTCTTTTCTTTCTTTTTTCTTTCTTTCTTTTCTTTCTTTCTTTCTTTCTTCTCTTTTTTTCTTTCTTTCTTGTCTTTCTTTGTCTTTCTTTCTTTCTTTGTCTGTCTCTTTCTTTCTTTGTCTTTCTTTCTTTCTTTCTTTTGTCTTTCTTTTTTGTCTTTTCTCTTTCTTTCTTTCTTTCTTTGTCTTTCTCTGTCTTTCTTTGTCTTTCTTTCTTTCTTTCTTTTTTCTTGTCTCTTTCTTTCTTTTCTTTCTGTCTTTCTTTCTCTTTCTTTCTTTCTTTGTCTTTCTTTCTTTCTTTGTCTTTCTTTCTTTCTTTCTTTGTCTTTCTTTCTTTCTTTCTTTGTCTTTCTTTCTTTCTTTCTTTGTCTTTCTTTCTTTCTTTCTTTGTCTTTCTTTCTTTCTTTTTCTTTGTCTTTCTTTGTCTTTCTTTCTTTCTTTGTTTCTTTCTTTCGCTGTCTTTCTTTCTTTGTCTGTCTTTCTTTGTCTTTCTTTGTCTGTCTTTCTCTGTCTTTCTTTGTTGTCTTTCTCTGTCTTTCTTTCTTTCTTTGTCTTTCTTTCTTTGTCTTTCTCTTTCTTTCTTTCTTTGTCTGTCTTTCTTTCTTTGGACTTTTTCTTTCTTTGTCTGTCTTTCTTTCTTTGTCTGTCTCTTCTTTCTTTCTCTTTCTGTCTTTCTTTGTCTGTCTGTCTTTCTTTGTCTTTCTTTGTCTGTCTTTCTTTCTTTTCTGTTTGTCTTTCTTTGTCTTTCTTTGTCTTTCTCTCTCTATCTTTTTTCTTTGTCTGTCTCTCTCTTTTCTCTTTCTTTGTTTGTCTCTCTGTCTTTCTTTGTCTGACTCTCTCTCTCTTTCTTTCTCTCTCTCTTTCTCTCTCTTTCTTTTTCTCTCTCTCTTTCTCTCTCTGTCTGTTTCTCTCTCTGTCTGTTTCTCTCTCTGTCTGTTTCTCTCTCTGTCTGTTTCTCTCTCTGTCTTTTTCTCTCTCTCTCTCTCTTTTCTCTCTCTCTCTCTCTCTCTCTCTCTTTCTCTCTCTCTCTCTCTTTTTCTCTCTCTCTGCTATAAGTTAAATAGGACTTGCATTTGGAAAAATCATTATTCGCAAAAAAACTGTCAATACAATATTCTCTCACAAAAAATTCTTGTAATTCAAAATCTGTTCTTGGCTTTAAATAACCCTCAAAGGGTTAAACAATAAATAAATCAATAAATGCTTTTTTTTTTTTTTTTTTTTTTTCTTAGAATCTCTAAAATTTAAATTTTTCTAAAACCTACAAATCAATATATTGCTCTAGACATTCTGCTCGTAAAAATGAATACACAATTTTAATCATATTTATCAATATAGTTTTTAATGTCACAAATCACATCCATTAACTCTGATTTGGATCATAGTTCATTTCTTCGACAAACAAAAACAAATGAGTTTCTGAATTTTAAAAAGGCTTCCGTTATCTTTTGGTTTTTATGAGAAAATCATTTTATTTGTGAAACCATATATATATATATATATATATATATATATATATATATATATATATATATATATATATATATAAAGTTACTGAAAATGATTGGCCCGACCTATTTTATAAAATCTGACCAAACGATGAGACATCCGACTTTTTTCAAAAGTTTTTTTCCTTAATTTTTCTGAACTTTCAGCACTTCCTTGTGCGTGAGTTTGTACCAAAAATGTTAATTCTACCAACTAACCCTTTATCCACTTTACTCCAAAAACATTTAACGCCCCAGAGACCATCCCCGCTAGCATCAAGACAAAGATGGGATCAATGAAAACAGAATCTGGGATATATAAAACTGACTGCCTTCTTGCCATAAATATGTAGGCGAGACATCTAGACAGCCCTATGTGTTTTAACACAAAAGAAACCTCCTTTCGGATAAACCCATTAAACATAAGATATAGAAATAAAACTGAGCTAAAATTTTATTTCAAAAACTTTAATAAGAGAAAAAAACTGAACACTAAGGATCTTCCAAGAAGGGATTGCAGTTGTATGCAGTAACTGTTCGTTCTACAGTCCAATTAACATAGTATTTAGTCAGGCGACCACGATGCAACGAAATGACACAAAGGTCAACTTTAATGTGGGTACCGGGGGAAAAATTCTCAAGCCCTATTGGCACTTCCCCATTTTTGGGGACGCCTCAGACGGAGAGCAATAAACCCAACCCCGTTCCGGAGGATGGAGTAGAGCATGAGGAATGGCCCCCTGAAGCTTGAGTAATATTCTCGACAGAGGAGCGAACTCATCTGTTGGCCAGTGATACGAGACATTGTTTTTTTTTCATTGGTAACAGTACCAGTACAGGCTAATTACCATTGCCACTAACTTTCTTAGCGAGCCTACACGTATATTAAATACTCGTCAGATACACTTTTTTATATCGCCACTATTCGTAAAATGTCTACAAGTTTGTAAACCTCAACTATTTGCTTATGTTTTAACCTAGTATAACACGCTGTCTCCTACAGTATTCTACTTCAGAAAAAAATTCTGATGAAGTAACGAAATATGTTAAATTTATAAAGATTTTCTTACTTGTTCCTTATTTAAAGGTTTTTGGATTAATTCCATATTTTCAACTCTTATATTCCTTCTATAAATATGTACATTGATAAGTATTAAAGTTTACGTACGGATTAATCATTTTAATAAATTTCCCTATATCCAGTTATTTTCTAAGCAATATTTAGTTTGACACAAGGACACATTTGACTGGAAACTTATTGCACTATTGAATACAAAATGAACTTGCTAAATGTTGGCCATACAAATTCTCGTGCATATATATTTAGAAGTGTACGAATACATATAATTACAAATCGTTGCCCTGTCTGGTACAAGGCGTTTGGGAGCACACAATGAATATGTAAGAATAATAATCTTCTTCTTTCTTTTATTCTTTTCTTTATAACTTAACTTTTACCTTCTTTTCCCTTCTTTTTTTACTACTTTTCTTTACCTTATTTCTTTAGTCTTCTTTAAGATCAATTGTTAGTTTTGTTTTTTTTAAACACCATCCGCCCCTTTTTTTCTTTACCTTCTTTCACACATATTTTTTTAATTCTTTTTCTTTTATGTTTACATTATTTTACAATATATTTCCATAAGTTTCTTTATTGTCTTTTCTTACCTTCTTTTTTACCTTTTTTTTTCCATCTTTTTTCCTTTTCTTTTCTTTTTTTTATCTTTTTTCTTTCCTTTTTTCTTTTCTTTTCCTTTATCTTTTCTTTCCTTTATCTTTTCTTTCCTTTATCTTTTCTTTCCTTTATCTTTTCTTTCCTTTATCTTTTCTTTCCTTTATCTTTTCTTTCCTTTATCTTTTCTTTCCTTTATCTTTTCTTTCCTTTATCTTTTTCTTTCCTTTATCTTTTTTCTTTCCTTTTTTCTTTTCTTTTTCTTTATCTTTTCTTTCCTTTATCTTTTCTTTCCTTTATCTTTTCTTTCCTTTATCTTTTTTCTTTCCTTTATCTTTTCTTTTTTCTTTATCTTTTTCTTTCCTTTATCTTTTCTTTCCTTTATCTTTTTCTTTTTTCTTTTCTTTTCTTTTCTTTATCTTTTTTTTCTTTTCTTTACCTTCTTTTCTTTCCTTTATCTTTTCTTTCCTTTATCTTTTCTTTCCTTTATCTTTTCTTTCCTTTATCTTTTCTTTCCTTTATCTTTTCTTTCCTTTATCTTTTCTTTCCTTTATCTTTTCTTTCCTTTATCTTTTCTTCTCGATTTTGTTTTCTACTTTAAATTCAATTAAAAAATTTCATGTGACAAGCGTTAAATTAAGACAAATAACATGTCAAGCAAAAAAACAATATCACAGCCTAAAACACCCATTTGACTTAATTAAAACAGTACGCAAAAGATTTGAATCGTTTTATTGGCAGTTAGAAATGTTCCACTTTAATGATCTATTCCTACACCAAAATTAGGCCTTGCATGTAAAAATTCGAATTTATATAAAGTTCATTGACTGTGTGCATTTCTGACTGCATTCACATTGAAGATAGGAGACCGATGCCTATGGTATGAAGTTTCCAGAAAGATTCTACTGCTTAGTGTTATTATTTTTATTCTAAACAAAACCTGACAGTTGAAAGTGATTTTACTGATAAACTTTAACTGGAACTTAAAATATTTCCTTGTAAACAACACCAAATCAAAGCATTTCTCACCAGAAACATACAGGAAACTAAAGATCTTTTTAAACAAGTGAAAGATGTTTCTAAATACTTCTTGCTTTATAATTCTTCCTAAACTTATAATCACTCGACTGGAATTCTAGTTTTTCATATTCAAAACAATATAACTGTTTAAGATGTGCCAATTTTGCTACTCGTTTTACTCCATTATCATCAAAGATTAGTTCTTCTGTCTTTTCTGTGAACTACAAATTGCGAATATTTTTCAACAGATGAACATAATCAAAAAGCAAATGTTGATTATCTTCATTTAACAAAGTTTTTCAGGGAATGTGGGATATAATTTTTAAAAAGTATGATTTACTCGGTTGCCATCACATATAATAACCTTTACATCATCTGGTACAGAGGTGATAGCCTGAACCGTTACCTCAATTTGTTCAAGTAAAATGTCCGATGTTAATTTTGAAATTTTGGACATCTCATTAAGACATATCAACATTATACGAAGTACTATTTGAGCATGTAGAGATGGATTGTCAACATTTTCTTGATATATACTTCATCATGGAGAATTATGCGCCCTTTTTATCTCCAATTAAATACAAATAGTAAAAATGATTTTTCATTAAGTTTTGAAACTTTTTATGTCATCCTTAATGTTGCTAATGATGGTAATTGAAAATCCTGTCTTCATCTATTATACAATGACCGTGATGTTGCATCGTACTCAAAAGCACGTAATACTGTATTTGAGCTGTATTTCATTTCAACTATTTTCATTGCTGACTCAAGATATCCTTCTTGTGATCAAAAGCCATAAAATTTAAATATCGGATAATTTCTACCAATGTTGACCAAGTATCAACTGTATTTATACGGTTTTTAGGCAGGCTGATGATATAGCACTTCATAATGAAGTGTTTAAAACTGCATTTTTTTTAATAAATTCTCAACATAAAGAGCGAGATAACTTACTACAACTGAACAGTTAAAATATTTTCAACCAAAAATGCTATAACTGGACAGTCTTTTTTGTTGTTGATTAGACTTTTTCAAATGTTTATAATTAATCTTATCTAATTCTAAAAAAAAATACTTATTTCATCAATTTGATTTCGAGCAGTACAGGGGAGTTGTTTTTTTTTTTTATATCCCTTTGAACAGCAGGGGGTGTTTGTATTTGAGTCTTTGCACATCTGGACATACAGATGGTGGATTTTGGGGTCGTATTTTTCCATAAACTTCTATGGTATCAAAATCTGAAGGCAAGCTATTTGACAAATAACTGTATTGGTTGTAACATTCAGCTTGTCAATAGGAAATTATTTTCTCCATAGCTCTTTCTTTCTCTTATCTTTGTCCTTTGGAAACCGATAAACCGATATTTTATTCGTCTCACACAGTGGTATCATGCTGGCTTCTGTAATTTGTTTTGCAAGGAACAACACACTTCCGGGGCATTGCTGGAAACTATGTAATATCTAAAATGATTAAGCTTCTTAAGCACAGTTATTTCTTTTACCCCTTCAATTTAGGGGTAACTTTTCAAGCTAAAGTTATTATGCTCTTAATCCCAACTTTTACCTCCCCACCCATACCAATAAGTTAAAAACAAATTTTGGAATATAGCTTTAAACCAACTTTTTAAATTTTTTTTTTTTTTTTTTTTTTTTTTTTTTTGGCGGAATATATTGTTAACAAAGGTTTGCAAAATATTACATAATCTTTTAATTATTGAGTTAAGTATCTAAATTTCTCGCACTTGTCAGCATAAGATCAGCTGGATCTCTCCCTTTGTACTACTCCTCCGGGCAACACCTCCCCCTCGATTTAAACATGGTGACAGGGGGTTTGGGGAATGCTGAGGGCTTTGGCTATTTTTGAGACAATACCTCGTGGTAGGGAAATCCACCGCAGTTCACTTTATTCTCGGCCTTCTAGTGTCGAAAATTAGTTTCGTGCACAACTTTAGTAAATAAACAAATTCTTTAGAACCTGAAAAAAATGACTGAGCAGCAAGCAGCAGCACGGTTAATATTTCGTTCACCACGTTTTTAGAATATCGAATTAATTAAATATATTAAATTTTATTATATGACATTAAATTTACGTAAAAACATTCTTAAATCGCTTTTTCATTAATTTTGTAATAAGAATGTGACATTTGGTTCTATTTTACGCTTTAATGGAAAATTTAAAAAATTAAAGTAAGCATTAATATTTGTTTTGTTTATTTCACCTTAAAGAAAAACACAACTAATTTAGAGAAAATTATTAAATAACTTGGTGAAATAATAATGGTAATTTATTTTTAATAAATTTCGAAGTATAAAATTTCAAACAAGCGTAGATAAACGTCTTCAAAAACACGTACGCCTGTTAAAAAGTAGACATTAACTTTTGTTTAACTTTCAGAAACAAATATACAGGGCGTAAAAAAGAATTTTTGAAGCGTAACTGTTTTTTGTTGTTGTTGTTTTATTTTTGTTGTTGTTTTATTTTTGTTGTTGTTTTATTTTTGTTGTTGTTGTTTTATTTTTGTTGTTGTTGTTTTTATTTTTGTTGTTGTTTTATTTTGTTGTTGTTGTTTTATTTTTTGTTGTTGTTTTTTTTGTTGTTGTTTTTTTGTTGTTTGTTGTTTTGTTGTTGTTGTTTTGTTGTTGTTGTTTTTGTTGTTGTTGTTGTTGTTGTTGTTGTTGTTGTTTTTTTTGTTTGTTTGTTGTTTTGTTGTTGTTGTTGTTGTTTTGTTGTTGTTGTTTTGTTGTTGTTGTTGTTTTTTTTCAAGAACATTGAATAAACTTTTTAACAGAAATGTTGAGTCAGTGACTACTAAGCTAACGTTTTTACCATACTTTTTAGAAAATTTAGATCCCGGAAAAATTACTGAGCTGCAGCAATTAATTTTGTTCACACTCACGTTTTTTGACAATATCAAAATTAAATGCTGAATTAAATAATTTAATTATAACTATGCTTCATTAAATTTGTAAAAACATTCTTAAATGTTCTTTTTCATTCAGTCTGTAATATCAAAATATTAGATTTGCTTCTATTTTACGTTTAATGGTAGATTTAAAAAAAAAAAAAGAAACTAAACTAAATTTAGTTTGTTTAAAATAAAAACACAAATTACTCATAAAATAATTAAATTTTATCAATGAATAATTTCTATAGATAAGAATATCAATGAAAAATATTAAAATAAGTTTGTGACCATTGACAAATAGTGGGATTTTATTTTAATTTTACTTAAATAAATTTCAGTTAAAACAGAAGCGTATTAAAAAGCTGAACCTCATGGAAGAAGCGAAGCACTTTTTTTTAAGAAAAAACTTTAAAATTTAGATGAAAAAATGTCAAATAAGAACCTTAAAATTCAAATGAACAAACCAAGATTACAAAAAATACTATTTTTGCGTAGTGAATTAGACACAAGTTTGTTTTTACAAACTACATATAGCAACTCAAATACTAACTAATAATAAATATTAAATAATAATCCAAATGTAAGGAAAATTACTGACTAATAATATTAAATAATAAATTACTTAGTAATATGAAATAATAAATATTAAGTAATATTAAATAAATTACATGCTAATGAAATTAAATATTAAATAAAATACTTACTAATAATATGAAATAAATTACTTACATATAATAATAATAATAATAATAATATTAAATAAATTGCTAATAATATATTAAATTACACTCTAATAATATTAAATAATATTCCAAATGTTAGGAAAATTTCTTTGAATTTTTTAAGCTAAAAACACTGGTGGAATAGCTAGCTGAAACTAAACTCCCCTGCTCCTCTCATCCGTCTCCAGTTCTGTCTCTACATTTTATTATGACTTGGCCGTCTAAGATACCTGCCAAATCAATCTTTTCAAGTTTTTCCAATTTACGCTTGGTTCTGGACGTGACACTCCCTAGCTAATCAAATTCTACAAAAAGAGACAAATATTTGTTTCAGTGCAGCTTACGTGGTATGTACAATTCGCGTCGAAAACGTATGAGAAGGTGAAGTGCACGATTGTAAATCTCGTCAACTTCAAAAAACATGAAGTATCCAGCTGCTAAAATAGAAGATACTTTTGAAGATAAAACATTTCAGTACGCGACCTTAATTAAAACTTCTCTACAAAGAAACAGTATGAATTTATGTAAAATAGGATTTTGTTTCAGCTCGCAGGCTTATTTGTATCCAGAGCGAAAAGGGAACAGTCACTTGTAACAAGTTAAACTAGGTACCTCCACGAGATCGCTAAAAAAAGAGCATAGCATGATGAAAAAGACGCCAAACTTGACGAAAACAAAATTTTATCGTCTAAATGTTTGTTATTCATTAAGAGGAAAGGTCAAAGTATTTTGGGGGTATTTTTTTCCATTTTTTAATCGTTCCTAGCACGTCCGAAATTTTCGTTAAAAATCTAGTTTTTTTTTGAGTCAGCAAATTGACCATTTTTTTTCCATTTTAAAAAACTGAAATCTGACTTTGAAATTTTTTTAAATATCAATTATCATTTTTTCAAAACTTATTTTAAGAAAATCAGAAATTATAATGTTTATTTAAAATATTTTGAACCAAACTTA